GGGGGGGAGGCGGGGAAGTGCTGTTTCGTAGAATCGTAGACTGGTTTATGTTGGAAAGGACCTTGAAGATCATCGAGTTCCAACCCCCCTGCCATGGGCTGGGACACCTCCCACCAGACCAGGTTGCTCCAAGCCCCATCCAGCCTGGCCTTGAACACCTCCAGGGATGGGGCCTCAACAACTTCTCTGGACAACATGTTCCAGTGCTTCACCATTCTTACAGCAAAGAATTTCTTCCTAATATTTAATCTAAATCTACCTTGTTCCAGCTTGAAGCTGTTACCCCTCGTCCTATCACTACATGCCCTTGTAAAAATTCCCTCTCCAGCTTTCTTGTAGGCCCCCTTTAGGTACTGGAAAGCTGCTATAAGTTTCCTTTGCTGTAAGACTGCTGTTACCCAAAATGCGTTTTCATTTGGGCACCCACATATAAACCCTTGAGAGGTTTTGATGTAGGTAATTTTGCAGCTTCGCTCTATTCTTGCACCAGTTCTCTTTGCTGATCCAAGAACTGTGAGGAGAGCACCAAGGTTTTGAAGAGCGTGCCAAGGTATCTTAACAAACATGAATATTCCCAGCTTTTTCATTGCGTGGCACTTACTGTTCACTGATCGATTGCATAAGAAATAACAGTTTCTAAACCAAAGCCAATAGCAAAAAACATCCTTCAGTATAAGAACTTTGCAGATTTGTAGTGTGGATGGATCTGAATTTCCTATCTGGCCTATTTCTAGGTAGGCTCAAGGATAAACTCAACTGTCAACACACTTTTAGAGATCGCTGCTACAAGCACAAAAGGAGGCAGATTTAGAGTGGGATTTTAGGTATTTTTACCCAGTCTGTTTGGCCCGTTTTTACACAGGCTTCTTGCATGACTAAATCTTTTAGCCAAGATCTCTCCCTTTTGGTTAAAGGAGACATGGGTATTTCTAATTGCCTTTGCATGTTTTCCCCTTGTTTGGACTTGTTATCCTCAGGCTGCCAGCAGGCAGCTAGATCAAGATAAAACTGTTGTTTAAATTGTCTTCGTGTATACTTTAGTTAGAACATGACACGATTGGAAGAGTTTAGCGTCTTCCACTACAAAACATTTAGACCTTTATGCAGCAGACTAATTTTTTGCAGACTGCAAATCCCAGATCTCTCAGCTCACACTAGACCTGCCCCCAAACCCACTGACTGCAAGAATCCTGTGTGAAGTAGCAGCTGTAGAACCTAAATCTAGGACTCTGCAACAGCTTGCTGTTCAGCAGAGGTGGAACTTTTATCAGCTATGTTCCTCAGTTCAACACTTAGCTTAGATCCTAATAAGACAATCAAAATATCTTCCACTTTGTTTTGCTGGAGGCTAAGAGCATACTCCGTCAGCCACTGCGTTCAGATGAGTCACCAGTAACTTGATCACATCTATGAAACCTAAGGTAGCGTTTGACTGGTGTGCATTTCCAGCTTATTTTAATGCATGAAAGTTTTTGTTAAACATGTACGTACGTGTTTTGGAAGAGTTTCAGATTGTTGCAGTAGCTCCACTATAAGTGGTTATTTTTGGAAAAAGCATGTTATGGATGTATCAGAACTGCAGTTCAAAGAAGGGAGTTTGATTGTGGACACACTGCTGTTACTCAGATCATCCAGAAGAGCAAAATAGCCCGAGGGAGTATTAAGAATTTAACCTGTTTAAAAAAACCACAACAATTCACTGCAATATTGAAAGAGTATTACTGACTATATAAAAGCATGCAGTAATGAGTCAAATGCTAAGAGCTGCTATATATAGTATTACATTTTTCACATGTATATAAAAATATTTAAGTTGTTAAATGGCATGATTAATCCTGGGGGCAATAGCTAGCCTTCATTTTGGGGCTGTGGCTTGTAAAAGGTATTGTGTATAGTTTGCAGGTAACTGTAATCAAGGATTTCTGCTACAGGAAAAGTTTACGCAAAATAAAGACTCCCTGGAAAATGTCAAATACTTCCTCTGCTTTGCAAGCAGAACTCTCAACATGTCAGTTGTGCTATCTAGCAGTGTTAAAGCTCCTTGTAGTTTATAAATGGTTTGAAGGAAACGCTGGAAGGCTTTCATGGTTTAATTACCGGTCAATACAGAAGGGAACAGAAACCAGCTCTTTCCAACAGTGAAAATTGTCTGCGTTCATTTAAGCATCTAGTTTAAGCTTGTTTCTGTGCAACTCAGCAGCCATCTGGTTGAATTATAGTGTTTTGGTCTCACTGTGGTACTTTTTTTATTTTAAACAAGCAATGCCATTACCATTCCCTGCTTTGGTGCTAAAAGACTTTTAGGGTTCCAACCATGGAATTCCAGGGTAATTCAGAGTAGTTTCAATGCTATGTCAGAAAATAAATTTGACCAAATTTAGAGGAACCCCAAGTTCTTCAAACAAAGTTTTGTAGAACTCTACAGCAATACCTCTCTTGCAGTGCTACTTCAACAAATCTGAAAAGAAACTATAAAGCATGGACAAAGAACTTTAGCAGAAACTTTATTCTATGAGGCACTTACATTCAGTGTCATGTACAGTAAGCTCTAGTGAAAAACAAAACAAAAATACCACAAACAAATGTTTAAGAAAAAACATATAAAAGTACTTCCAGAGGAGAAATCACATTATAGTCCATGAGTCTGGTAAATTTCAGGCTTTTAGCATGGTTTCCACTCCCTGTTCACAGATGCAATATTTTAATTTTCAGTCCTCTCCTCCTGTGGATTTCTAGGGCAGGATCAGGGCACCAGGAGAACAAATCAAAATCTTTGACAGAGGACCTAATGCAAAAGTTAACCACGGTCTGACAACTGGAGAGAACCAATGAAATACCAGTACAGAGAACAAACCCCAAATAATTCAGACATCAGGTGATTTCAACTAGAGAAGTCAGAGAGGGAACCGATGACAGAAGTACAGGCTCAGATGTTTCTCAGCCTCACAGAGGTCCTGGGAACACATGACCGAAATACAGGCTCAAATATCTGTCAGCCTCACAGAGGGCATTTTAAATAAAAAGGTTTGTTGGGCATACTGACCATATCTGTGGAACTTACTTTTACTTTTCATCAGAATGGACTAAATGAAAGCAAAGATGACTACAGTAACCAAGTTGTGCCACAAGACAAATATAAATCAACTTCTTTGAACAATATATCCTTTCTATGCATATAATACACAACACAATGTTTTATTTGAAAAATAAACATTTGATTAATTTTTAAAATAACATAACCACATTCCATCATTTTGTCAAATCAAAAGTATATCCTTAGGTTGCAAACTGTTCATTTGTGGTCAAGCCTTGAAAGGATCAACATATTTGATCTGAAAAGTGCTGCAGAAGTAAGGTTGATATAGAATCAGGTAGAAATACATAGTGCAGATGTATACCCTTGCTAAGGGTTAGGGGGGGTTGTCTGTTTGGGTTTTTTTTTTTTTTTTTTTTTAAAAAAGAAACCCACAGGACAGCACACATCAGACAGAACTGAAGGCAACTGTACCAAAAGCATGAAAGTACAGGCTATTTAAGATGCCGCATTAATGCACACAAAATGCTCTTTGCTGTTGGATCTATCAGATGCATCAACTGCTAGTAAACCTAAAATTTGACCTATATTAAAAATCATCTGAGAATTCAATACAACTCTTCTGCACCTCTGATTTCCCCATTATGGAGTTTTCTTAAAAACTTTATAATGGCACTAGTGTTTGATGATAGCATACCCTGAGTGGACATACACCAAAGGAAACTAATTTCAGTTTCCAAGCTTCTGGTGTAAAGGGGAAGAGAAGGAAGACTTGTTTCTTTGTTTACATTAGGAAGAGCATCATAGTGATTTTCAAACCAGTATATTCATGTCAGTGTTTAATGTGTTATTGTCTGAAAAGCGTAAAGCTTTGTAACCAAGTGCTCGCTTCATTCCAGCTGAGTCTTTGACTTTATTCTGTACCATGAGATCTCAGTATCTTCTTTCAGAGATCTGTTTTATCCTCGTAACGACACATACATGCAGCTCTCTGGCTATCCAGGTATGGTTTACATCCTAAATGTATAACGGCATCAAACAAAAGCTGAACAGTTGATTCACAAGCTGCAAGTAAAGAGGAATTCAGTTAAAAGTACTCTTTGAATGGAATATGAAACTAACAGAAATTACTCTGGCAAATTGAGAACGACTTTAAGAAAGAAACAGTCTTCTCTGGGCATAGCACATAGATTGTGAAATGAAAAACCGAACCAATACAGAATCATTTAAGTTGTGAGTAAAGACTTTTCATTTGGCAACCAAAAGGAACAAGAAAATCCAGTGCATGTGGAACGTTATCAGTGTTAGAAACATCAGTCTCTGAAAGATGAAAGAGCTGCTTTACTTTTTGCATCCCAATTGATGCGGAGATTGCTATCTTTAACAGCAGCTCAACAGAACTGAGCAAATATTCACCAGTTCTAACACTAAACACTAACATGATGACTTTGCATTAAATGAATTTGAGAAGTTCAAACGTAAGCTTGTTCTAAAAACTGTTCTCAGTGGAACTACTTACTGTAAAAGTGACATTGTCTAAGTTAAAAAGTGTAGTTATGTCATGTATGGATCAGATGCAGGCCAACAACCAGGAGGAGTATCATATGTCCTATTACTGAAAAGCCTAAAATTTATGCACTAAGGGAGAGCATTAACTACTTCCACTGTAACAATGTATTATATTAATATATTTATTCATAAAAGGGAACAATTCAGTATTTTCCTACAGTTTACTAGCAATCACATGTAGTAGACATTTAGAACTTACTCAGCAGAACAGTGAATATTCAGCTATACTACAGTAAATGCAAGAATTATACATGCATTTTGATCAAGTTGTGGTCCCATATTCATACTCCTAAATGGGAAGCATAATTTTTTCCTCTCAACGTTAGTTTTAACCCTGATCATTTTCCTACGCTGTCATTTCTCTGCCATCCAAGTGTCTAGGCTGCATGACAGAAGGGCAGAACTCGGCATCAGCTCATGAAAATGTGGCATTACTGTGCTGCACAAAGATTCTTTAGCAAATAAGCTCAGTTAAACCTGAAAAACAGAAAGGCTTTTTTCACACTTACCCTGGACGCTCTCTGAAATTCCAAGTGTTTTCTGCACATCTCTGCAAATTTTGGAGAGGCAAGACTGAAACTGCTCATCACAATCATTTTTTTTATTGCCACAAGTATCGTAGCATCTGTCATGGTGATTGCAGCACTTTGTCATCGAAGGGATACCGATGTCAAACTGTGAAGAAAATCCCCCCCACTCCATTGGTATTCCAGTAAGAAAGATACAGGCTATGAACGGACTATGACTGATCAAAATAAAAAATTAATGCAATCAATCCAGGTACCATTCACTTATCTCTGCGTTTTGCTGTTCACCTCTAGTAAGCTGTGGTGGTTTGACCCCAGCCAGCAGCCGAGCTCCGACAGAGTTGCTTGTTCAACCCCCTGCCCCTCTCCACTGAATGGAGGAGAGAATAGGAAGAGCAGCAACAAGAAAACTCGTGGTTTGACATAAAGACAGTTTAATAGCTGAATGAAAGAGGGGGGGAAATGCCCCAAAATAAGCAGTGCAAAAGCAATCATTCACCATGTCCCACACACAGATGCCCAACCAGTCTCTGAGCCACAGCCACCTCGCACACCAAACACTCAACCCTGCCCCCACTTCTTCAACTACTCTAATATTTATTGCTGAGCATGACTGTGTAATACAGAATATCCAGTTCGGGTCAGCTGCTCCAGCTGTGTCCCCTCCCAGCCTCTTGCCCAGCCCCAGCCTGTGCTCTGCGGGTGGCAGATGGGCAGAGTGGGGAAAAAAGAGAAAGTCCCAAAGCTGTGCAATCACCGTTCAGCAACAGCCAAAACCATCAACAGTTCTAGCCCAAAATCCCAAACACAGCTCCATGCAGCCTGCTGTGAGGGAAGTTAACTCCATCCCAGCCAGAGCCGGTACATAAGCTAACCCATATTTTCTTTCTAGCATTAAGGAAAATGGGTTAGCATCAGTAAGGACAGCAAGAGCCAGAGCCAAACTCTCCACTCTCACACGGCTACAGTTGGTGTTATTCAATGCTTTCAAGATCGTGAAAACAAAATGCTTATGCTTAAAAAATCAGAAATTAGCCATCATTATTCTATTTTATCCCTTTAATATTTTATGTCAATGATGAAAATGTTTATGCTATGTTTGCTTACAATACTAACAGTTTCTATGTGTTTTTATCAAAGCATGTGCTGGAGCTGATAAAAGCAAGGACATTGTAAGTGGATGCTGTCTCATCCTTAGAACGGGGGAGGGAAAAAACCGCCCACATCTAGGAAAGCTGGTGTATGAAAGACACCCAAAGAAGCCCCGAAATGGAAACACTTACCTGGACTCCAAATAAAGGGGATCCGCAACCATTTGGTGGTGAAGGTTTATATCCATAGCGAGGAAGGGGCTTTGATCCTGAAAAAGATAATTTATCATGCCTCAAGTAGATTTTTTTGAACAGAATTTTAGTACTGTCAAAACTCACCACAGGCATTTGTTGGGCTTAAGACAGCATCACTTATATTTTTAACTTAAACATATATTCAGGCACCTGAATATCAACAATTATTACCAAATTAAAATTTTGGGGTATTAAGTGGTTTTTTTGAAAAAAGGGGACAAGACACCTGAGCAAGTGTTAACATTAGCTTCCCAAGTTAAAGAAAAAAAAGAGCTTGAGTTACTAAAACTCATGTGTCAGTTAAGCGTGCAATATGTAGGATTACATTAAAGAATAGAGTACTTTAGGCTAAGTTCATTAACACTTACATGCTTTACACGTAAGCAACAGTAGTGCTCCAATTCTTAGCTTAACCTTTAAAATGAACTGGAATGAAACATCTTTTTTATTTCTACAACTGTAACATTAAGAAAATTTGAATTAGTAGAGACTGTCTCCCTGAACACCGACTAGTGCAGCAAGGCAGGGAACGCTGCATCCCAAGATAAGGAAGGTTGTGGAGTTAATTTGAGAAATGACCCTTCACCTCGTTTCCGTATCGGACACAAACTGCGGCCACAATTAAAAGCAACGGAGAAGATACAAACATATTTGAAAAGTGCACATTCTAGTAGCACAGAGCGGGAATGTCACGCCGTCCTGGCTGCTCCGGCGGGGCCAAGTCAGGGTGCCACCACCGAACCCATTTCCTCACTGAACAAACAGTCCGACCCATCCAACCGGGGGCAGCTCGATCCCACCGGCACCAACCGAGAGGATCTACGGGACCCTCCCGCCTGGGCCCGACCTGGAGCGCCGGTGACAAGCCGGGCGAGA